CGGTTGGTTGCCAGCTGGAAATCGCCTTTGCACAACCACTCGTTTTCAGTCCGGCAGGGATACTTGAGATGTCCCGCGTTCCGTAGGTGGCGTTGTTGTCGGGTTTGCTGCCGGCGGATCTGTTCCCTTTCCCAATACGCTCAGTATTCTAGGTTCCTCAGGCTTTCGCGATCGGTGATCCAGAAGGGAGAATCTATCGCCATGTCTCGTTCAACCGAATTCCTGCATACACATCTTCCTACGGGGCGGGATCGTGGCTAGCTTTTGCGGCCGCACGTGTAGATGGCACGTCCGCGGACGATCGTTGTCAGACACGTGCGTGCGCAAGGGCTAGCAGACCAGATCCTAATCTGCGCAAGCAACCAAGGAGCGATCCGCACCGGCTCAATTCTTGCAGCTAATTCAACCAAGCAAATATACTCAGCAATCCCCGTTTGTCCTGACCCGTATCGTAGATAGGGATTTCATCATTCCTGTCGAGATTTGTCGGGTTAAGTCTGTTCGGGGTTGCGGGCCGTCCTCGTGGGTACGCGTGCAAGCTGCGCTCGTCAGATCGTACTTATATGGGGACCCGCGGGGTTGGTCCGTTGTGGATCGGTCCATCAGCCAATCGCCTGTGCAGAAGGAGGTTCATGCAACAACCCTTCAGATAAATTTCGTTCGAGCAGAAGGCAGTCGTGTGGTCATCAGGGGAATATCTCATCACCACCCAGACATACATCGAAGCATCATAACGATATCAATTTCTTTCACCTACCAATCATCCGAGTGTGAATAGACCGGCGCTGCGAGCGCTGGATGATTCAAAGTTACACCAAACTTACACGCAAAACATTGGTTATCCCATCATTACAAGATCATCATACCCATCTCATCCAACGAATGCAAAAGTGAAAGAGGGAGAACACATCACACAAAGCCGAAAGAAATGTCAAAATGCAAAACAAGGGCGTCTCGCCCAAAGCCAAAATTTTGTACACCAAGACGGAGAAAAGACAAAGAAGCTTGCAATCCCACATCCGCCTGTTTCCCTTATCTCTCTCTCTCTCTCTCTCCCTCCGATGTGGACAGTCCGTCGTCTCGCATCCACTCATGGAGTTGTCACCCTGCTTAGTCCGCGTGCGCCCGTCAGGTTCACCAGCTCTTTGGGTCGCCCAACTCCCTCATCAACTCACCTCTTACTTCGCTCATTAACCGACCCTCACCAGTGAGGGGGTCAGAACCAGTAGAGCCATTGGAACCGGTGTATTGTTGGGATTGTTGCAGTCTGTTAATATGGTTGGAATATTGGGATTGTGATACCTAGTGCAGAGCCCTGACAGGTCACCCTGTCCCCCGCCTTCGCCTGGAACTCAAAGCCGGTGGAGTACCTCTAGTAGAGTCTGGGTACCCCGAGGACGTTTCCCGTCTGCTAGATGTACGGTCCATAGGTGTTCCCGGCCTGAGGGTAGGGAAACAGGGTAAATCTATCAAGGTCCTACACATAATTTGAGTAGGGCTGGCCCCGGGGTCTACCTATGGATAACCAATGGGGCTTGAGTGTGAGTTAGGAGAGCTATATAGCAAGGATGCCTGGTACTTACGATTCCCCAGGGCGGGCTTCATGGTGTGTACTTACGAGACCTCAGGACAGCACTGACACGCGACGACCAGCCCGCAAATGGCCTCCAGGACGGGAGCCTGAATGGAGGTAGGGGATATGGGGAGGGTGCCGTGCATGTTAGGGGGGGTGGGAGGGAAACATCGCATCTGGTAGAAGGAGGGGAATCTCCATAGAGTCTACCAGTTGGGAAGCAGCTTGTCTGTGGACTAGTCGGCCCCGACTAGTTCGGGGCTACCTATGAGAGAAATGCACCTGGGGGGGCAGTCTAGTATTAGGTGTCTCGCTAGGAAAAATAATGCATGCATACTAAAAAAAGTTGTGTGCCCGTAGGGTCGGCTCGCGATGGGCGCTACAACGCGGAAAAATGGTACTCAGGGATGGGTTGGATTCTACCGTCTGGGCAATCAGAATGGATGGCGATTGAAAGGCAGTACTGTCAGGCCGGGCATCTGACCTCTATAACAATCCTGTTTTTTTTTAAGAAAAAAAAAAAAGAAACTCCAAATAGCTCATTAAATCAGTTATCCTTTATTTGCTGGTTTCCTTACCACTCAGATAACCGTGGTAATTGTAGAGCTAATACGTGCAGCATATCCCAACTTCTGGAAGGGATGTACTTATTGGATAAAAGACCGATTCGGGCTTGCCCGTTGTTGCAGCGAATCATGGTGACTTGTCGAATCGCATGGCCTTTGAGTCGGCGATGTTCCATTCAAATTTCTGCCCTATCAACTTTCGATGGTAGGATAGAGGCCTACCATGGTGGTAACGGGTGACGGGGAATTAGGGTTCGATTCCGGAGAGGGARCCTGAGAGATGGCTACCACATCCAAGGAAGGCAGCAGGCGCGTAAATTACCCAATCTAGTCATAACTTCGTTCCCGCCGCAGAAAAACGCGCGCAAGAAAGGAGCGTCGCTTGGCAAGAATTTCAAAAAGTCCTAAATTCCTATCTGAACTCAAAACTGCAACAGAAAAATGCCGATGAAACAGAAGAAAAGCAAAAAGGAATCAGAATTCCGAGAGCCCTCGAGGGCTCGTTCCTAGGAAAATTTAAAAAGAACACCGAAAAGATCCCGCGCGATCATCGCGCCGGAAATCTCCGTTCCCTCCTTTTATTCCTGCAGAGCAACAACGAACCATCGCCAACCGTTATTAATCGCGCCCAAGGGAGCGCGCACACTCAACTGTCTGTCCCGGGCCTGTCCCACCACCGCCGAAGGGGAAGGAGTGAAGCGAAGGAAAAGAAAGAAGCGAGGTCATTGACGCAATTTACCCGCCGATCCCACCTCCCGCAATTTGTCCAATCTTCCCATCTCAGGACCCCTCCTTGTCATCGCGCAGAAAGTCGAGCGGCACAGAAAGTGGTTCTTCACAGTCCTGTGCTGCTCCTTCCAGCTCCATCTCCATCTCCCTCATCCTCATCCCCTTCGTCCTGATCCTGACGAGCCGCCATCCTAGGGTTCTGTCACACGCAACGTTTATTTTTAATCTGGGTTGTTTGTTGATGATTCCCGGCCTCTCTCTTTTGGTATGCGAAATCAAACGAGCAGAGTTCTTTTGTAAAAAAAAAAAGTTAAGAAAAAAAAAAAAAAAAAGTTATTATAAGATCTCTGACCACCTCGGCCCAGTCACTTTCCATCAGGTTCTCATAACTATTTATTTATCAAATTATCACCATTTTTTATTTTATTTTTTTAATCACCCGTGGTGTTTGACCATGATGATCCCAAGCGGCTTGATTTTTTCCAAGTGCAGCAGCGGGGTGATAATTTTTGTGACAGGCATAATAATATGATAATATCCCCTTAGGCTACTGAAGGGTGTAAGTTCAACAAAACCCAGTCTTTTAAACCACCAGTACTTGGGCACTGCGCGCCGCGCCGACCGCCCAAATCTCGAAGCAGCACAGCCTATCGATTCGATTTATCGACGACCAGCCAGCCGCGGAAATCGCGTAGCGTTAACGCTAAGGCGTCGCCCAAGTACTGGTGGTTAAACTCCTTGTGATAGTACACTCTCACAACTTTCTCCCCCGAATCAAGGGAACAGTTACTCCGGTCAGACCTGGTCAGTTGCCAATGGGTGGTTTGCCCAGTGTTCCACGGCCATCATAGCATCTGCTAGTAAGCTTTTGATGAGTTGCTGTCACACTAACGTTACGAAATTCGATATGATTGATTGCGAAATTCAATATGATTGATTTCTAAAGCGTCTTGTGTAGTGCTCTGTGATGTTGCGCACATTTCAATTTCCTTGCCCGAGATCCGCGGCTGGTCTCGACCCCCTTATATGCTGTGCTTTTTTTCTTCTTTTTTCTTGTTGAATCAAATTCATTCATAAAAGCTCAGGTTATTGTAGTGGCAGGATTTCTAGACATATGACAGGCACCTTTGGCACTTGGGAATGTGGTACCGGATATGTTCCGTCCTCAAACAAGCTTTAGGCTTAGGCCCAATTTCTGACTCAGGCATTCCATGCGCCACCTGCTGGTCCATGCACTGGGCGACTCCCCGTTTTACAGTTGGGATCCGAATCATTCATGATCTCTTCCGAATCTTCCCCTACTGTTACTGTGAACTTTTTTTTTTTTTTTTTTTTTTTTCCGGTTACATACTTTTCGTTAAATTTGAAATATCTTGCTCGCGAGACGAATATAAACAAGTTTAACGATTTTTTTGCCTCCTTTTGTAATATTATGTTCTTTTTTCAAATTTCGGTGCCGATAACTTTTTTAATTAGGGTCTCGTTAGACACTCCTAAAAGTTCCAGTTTTTAGGATTGCGTGTTGGTTGCACACAATCCTAAATCAGCCGCGGGAATCGAAAATGTGAAAACGGCGTTAGGACTCGTCCTAAAAGTTTTAGGACTCCCCTGGCAAATCGTCCTAAATTTTCTAGTAGCCCCGGAGCTACTGAAAAATTTAGGATTCCCGATTATCACGGAGTCGGTGCGTCGCGCGCATGGCACCGCCGCCACAGGGTTGGTGGTCCAGTAGCGGTCCGTCTGGTGGGCAGTCGGACATCGGAGTTTTAAAGCGCGCCGAGGCCGGCAACGGCCAACGGTGGTAGCCGTTGGCAGCCGGTGGCGAGCGGGGCGGTTGGGGTGGGACTGGGGGGTCTGGCGACCGTCTGCGAGTTGCCGTCCGTAGTGGACCTTTGTCTCGACGTTGCTAGCGATGGTGGAGGACGACGTCGGTCTCTCCACGACGCACGGTGGCGTGGGCTCCGAGTGGTGGCGGCAACGGCCGTTTTTGCATCGCATGCTGCCACCTTCGTTGTCTTCTCTGGCTGTTGTCGACATATGAAGGTCCACCGGGCGCGACTCCCCCCGCATGTTACAGCAGTGTTTTGCAGTACCAGTCGGGTGCGCAGTTGGGGTTGGTGGTGAATTTGATGGCTGACGTGGGGAGGAGATTTCCTCTGCTCGTGCTCGTCGTCGTCGTCTTCCTACTTGTCGTCTTCCTCCACGTGTGTTTGTCATGGCGCCCGTGGAAACAACATCGCAAGAGGAGGGCGTCGACGAAACGGTCGGCAGGAGAGCGTACAATGACGGGCATGCAGGGATGCGCGGGTGTTGGTGCGGGTCAAGGCGGAATACGAGCTGCAACGGCGGAGCCTCCACGGCGGTACGACCCATCCATGTACGCCCATTTGGAGTCGTGGGAGACGCCGCTGCCCCCGGTGGACGAGGAGCCCAAGACGGAAGAGCTGCCGACGTTGCCTCCTGCCAGTGGCTCGACGCAGCTTTTGTCGCAGACGGTACGAGCAGGTGGTTCGGGTTGCAACGAAGGCGGCGAGTACACGTCTTTGCTGCAGCAAGGCTTGGGAGACGACGACGACGGAGGACTTGATCTCAGGTTCGACCTATGTTCTGGCGGGTCCAAGGAGGCAAGCCGTACGTTGATCATTGACACCGATCCTTCGCCACGTGGCGTGGGACAGGGTGGGAGTCAGCGTACGGATCAAACCACCCTTCGTGACCGTGCGTCCATTGCTGCCAGTGTCGGGCCATCTGCAGTGGTCCGGCTTCAAGGTTCCACAGCACTGTCCGCCGATCGATCGACAAGTAACTGGCCTGCATGCAACGGAGCTGCAGCCGGGTCACCGCGCGTCGAGTGTGCACGTCCTTCGATGTCCGAACGCACAACACCGACCCAATCCGACGTGAGGGACGCGGGTGCATGCAGACCACTGGTGCGTCCAGTACCCACTGTGGAGAACATCACACGAGGTGTGTCGAACATGCGGGCACACAGTGATGGCGGCGACGACGACGGTGTTGGCGGCGATGATGCTGACGAGCGATTGACGGAGGACGTGGACGCAGGGGACGACGACAAAGACATTCCTGTTCGGCCGTTGGGGAAGACGGATGGGAGGGGGAGAGCACGCAGCAGGGGTCCTGTTCGAAGTCAATCCGTTGGCCGCGGTGGCAGAGGCTGTGTCAGCGATGATGCCGGGAAGTCTGTGAGGTACTGGTCTCCGGAGGAACAACTGCAACTAGTGAGATGCAAGCGGGAGCAAGAGATGCACCTCGCCGGGCTGGGCCACAACTACGGGCGGATGCGGACAAGGACTGGAAGTGGGACGGCATTGCAAAGTGTATGGCGAGCGCAGGGAAACCGAAAGACGCGGACGACTACATGAAGAAGTGGGACAATCTATTCCAAAACTACAAGAAGATACAACAGTTTCAGAACGCAAGCGGCTGTCCTGATTTCTTCGGCCTTACAAATGAGGAAAAGAAGGAGCACAATTTCAAGTTCCGGATGGAGAGAGCGCTTTACAACGAGATCCATGCTGGCATGCTGGGCAACCATACAATTTTTCCTCCGACACAGGAAATCCTAACGGGGTGCAGCTTCCCAGGAGAGGAGGTGGCGGTGGTGAGTCGGTTGGTAGTGAGGCTGGTGGTGAAGGCTTCCCCGAGGAACGTTCTTCTGCGCGGGAATCCGAGAACAACACAGGCAGCGGGGCTGGAGGCGGCAAGCGGAAGAATGCACGTAAGCAGGCGTTGGAGTTGATCGCTAATGTCATGGATCGACATGGCGAGCTGATGTCGTCGACGATCGAATCCTCCAGTAAGCGGCAATGCAGCATTTTCACGAGGCAATGTGACATACTAGAGCAGGAAGTCGCAGTCCAGAAAGAGCACTACGCGGCGTCCAATGAAACGCAGAGGATGATGTGCCACGCGCTTCTGGAAATCGTTGCGGCCATCCGTGGTCGGACGACGATGTAGTGGTCCTTGGTGTCCCATCCTAGTGTTCAGTTGTGAATATTTTTAAACATTTTTTATTTTTTGCTTTTGTTTCATGAAGGTTGTGTGTGCGTGTGTGTGTGTGTGTG